AAAAATTTTTTTTTTTTTTTTTTTTTGGATATCTTTCCTTCCTACATCTCCTTTCTTTTGTTTTCTCTGTTTTACTGTTTTTTGTTTTCTTAATACTTTCTATACTCTTCTTCTCCCTTAAAAAATGGGAATAAATGCTTTTTGACCTTTCTTGAAAATAAAATATAGAAAAAATAAGAAAAGGCTTTTGAAGCGGAATAGAAACATTCGTGAAAAATAAAAGGGAAAATAATTGGTTTTTAATTTAATCCAAACGCGTAAACTTTTTAAATGTTTTTTTCCTCTGTTGACTTGACGCAAAGAAGATCTCTCCATAAAATTTTAGATGTAAAAAAAAAAAAGATACAGAACCGACTGACAGAGATTTTGTCCAAAAAAAAATAAAGGAAAAAATGCTAAATATATTCTTGTACTATAATTTAAATATACCATCCAAGTATGTGATGCAGTGGATGGGGTTGCTCTTCATTTAACCAGAGATCTCGAGTTCGAACTCTGAATATGAAAAATTTCTTGGTAGGGAGCGCTTTCCCTCGAATGGGACCCTACGCGGCGCGAATCCAAATATAATCGGGTTCCAATACGAATACCGAATGAGAAATAAAAAAAATAATTTAAACATACTCTCTATTTGAATATCCGTCCAATTAAGCCCCGGTCATTATACTTTGACATAGATATACCGTATATACACGTCTCTGGGGCTTATACTAGTCTTAAAAGAGCAATTAATTGTTTTGATTGATCATTTCTCGACCTCATTAGTCATTACTTTTATCCAAGATATGGGTGGGATAATAAATGACGAATAACATTCTCACAAAATATACGAACCGTTACTATCCAATTGTGTATTTGATCTCCTCAATCCATGTTGTTAATTCCAAAAAAGTAAATTAATGATGACCCAAAAAAAAATTAACTTTCGAATTATGCAGCACTGATGGATTTTGAATGATTACATTCACAAAAAAATATGTATAGACTACTAAAACAAAAAGAAGAGGCTGCCCCTAAAAAGCAAGAGATTAATACCTGATGAAGCGTAACCAAATTAACAACAACAAATCCAATTACAAATGCAGTTTGGGAATGGTAAAATATATGCAACTTTATTCCTACCTGACAAGGCAAAGAGAATATTTTCAATGGACCATCGACTAAAGAAATGATAAAAAGAAGTAAAAGCAACAAGTAATAACAACAATAAAATAATAAGAGATAATCGAGGCAAAGATAACATAGTAATAGCAATCCGTGAATAAAAGACAACATGCTAATACTAATGCTATCGAACTGAGAATACAAATGGGAAACGCTCGACTGCCTATTATCCTAATCCACGACCTTCACACCCTCCTATTAAGGATCATGTGTAAGCTCTAGATATGTCATGTCCTACCTAATCATCTTTCCACAAGACTTTTTTGGCCTACCTCTATCCTATCCTACCCCCCCCCCCCCC